CCTTGATGGTGGAATGATAAGGCAGCAGGAAACCATTCTAACAGGGATCATGAATGACGTGGAGAGAGGAAGCACGAGCAGAAGGTACAGGGCTTGGAAGAAGTGTGGGCTGTGCTTGGAACTTGATGGTTTCTGAAGGTATCAGACCACATCAAGGCTCAACAGTCATCCATGGGCATTTGGTTTCAACAGATAAACCTAACATCCTACTTTGGAAACTGTTACTGCGGAGTTCAGTCAAATTGTTCCAAGAACGCAAACTGCATCTCACCCGTCAGGTGTCAGTTCTGGGGCATGACTTTAGGGTTTTGTTTTATTTTGTTTCTGCAAGAACATAATGATCACTCATCTGTATGTCCATGTTTGTGTGTGTCCACATCTTTCTGGTAAACATCGTTGTAATTAGTCACTCATTAGCGTTTTCAATAGGGCTCTTAAGTCCAGTAGATTACGGGTAGTCAGTTGACGAAGATCTGGTTTACAAGAACTAATTAAATGTTTCATTGCATTTTTGTAAGAACATAGAATAATTTTATAAAATGTTTGTAGTTTATAATTGCTGAGAATAATTTAAAGACACTTTTTTTCTCTGTGTGTGCAAATGTGTGTTTGTGATCCATTTTTTTAGGACACCTGTTTACTAGCTAGCTTTACAATATGCCAAAAAAGGATTTTTCCCTGACCCAAGCCGTAGTTCACCCTCTTTCCCCCCATGTTTTGTGCCCTAGTTTATAACAAAGGAATGATGATGATTTAAGAAGTAGTTCTGTATCTTCAGTATCTTGGTCTTCCAGAACCCTCTGGTTGGGCAGGGGATCATCTTTTACTGGTCATTTCCCTTTGGAGTGTAGCTACTTTAACAGACTGAAAGAACCTCACTGGCCAAGGAAAGAGCAGAGGTGTTGCAGCCCAGTGGTGCCATGGCACCTTCGGCACCTCGTTGGGTCGGTTTGGTAGTTGTACTGTTATACAATGCCTTGAGATGGAAGGACTCCGTTGCGTAGCTAATGGTTTTCACAGTGAGCACAGCATACAGACTTATCACACAAAAGATGGTAATTCTGGTGCACGCAGGCCATTTGCTTACATGCCTCATATCATGATTAATGCTTTGCTATAATAAGGAAGAGACCCTATTTATTTTTATTTAAGGCAGAACACCGAACATAGATTTTTTTTCAGTACAAAACAAATTCTTTTTAATAAAAACTATACACACACCAGATTTTTTTAAGTTTGACTCCATTTCCTCTAGCTCCCAATGGGTTATTGGCCATGTCAACACAACCCCACAAAATCCCCATCATTGGCAACATTTGGGTGTTTTGCTCTACATGGGAGAAAGATCCAGAAACAATTTGGGTTTTGTTTGCAACTTTTCATTTGGATGTTTGGCGTTGCACAGACACATCCACAGGTGGAGTAGATGCTTGGCAAAAACACCTGTCTGCTTTCTAAGCCAGTGAGGTTGAGGTGAGAGGTTTGCCAGAGTTTGTCTACCTCTGGGACAAAAAAAAAAAAAATCAAACCAGAAGGCGCGATGGAATGGATGCATCGCAAATAATGCATTTTCTGAGTTTTCTTGTTTAAATAAAAAAAAAAGTTTTTAAAAAAAAATAAAAAAAAAAAAGGTAATAACATGGCCAATTTGTTACATAAAATGACTTTCTGTGTATAAATTATTCCTAAAAAAATTCCTCTGTTTATATAAAAAATCAGTAGATGAAAAAAATTTCAAAAGGTTTTTTTGTATATTCTGTTGTAAGAATTTATTCCTGTTACTGCGATATACTCTGGATTCTTTATGGAAAAAAAAGAAACTGTCTATTTTGAATGGCTGAAGCTAAGGCAACTTTAGTTTCTCTTACTCTGCTTTTTTCTAGTAGTTAAAGTACTACATGGTTTAAGTTAAATAAAAGAATTCCGTATGCATTTTTGGTCTCTGATTTTGCCCCACCCTCCACCCCTTCTGGAAGAATCACCACACTTCTGAGCAGGGAAGCTGAGCTACGTGTGGCATGTGTGTTCACACATATCGCTGGGAGGTGTTCTGCATGAAGGCTTCGCTCTATTTCTGACAGCTGAACCTTCTCAGCATGCAAATTGCTGGTGAACAGGGAAGCTATTCTGTTTCTCACTCCATTAAATCAGCCAGAAGAACATTTGAATACATAAAATATAGAAATCTGTACTTGATTTTTGAATGATGTGTAGACTTTTCTGCCGACATAAGTCAGGGCAGGTTTGATCTGGGTGACTCTGGGGCAAAGGACTTTCTGCACATTTTCATGTCCTTGTCGGTCACCTCCTCAGAGGGCGCAGGTGAGGCCATAGACACGCACACAGGGTGCAGCTCCCTGGCGCTGCTCAGAAATGTTAGTTACTTTCCAGCCAGCGAGCTTGGCCTGCCCCAGGGACTCTACAATCTGGGCATCGTTATCTTTGCCAGGGGAAATGGTTATGGTAGGAAGTGTGAATACATGTTCTAAGGAAACAAGCTGTACATGTTCTAGAATCAAACCTGAGACACATCAGGAAGACAAGCTCATCATTCATTAAACTTTGATCATGGGAAATTATACTCCAGTAAGAAAATCAGGCTACTGGACAAAGCGCTAATTAGCAAGGTGTAGGCAGCAGAAGTAAATGAAAGGCCATGCTTACTAAAGACCTGGTGAGTCTCAAATACTTGGACCTAAAAACAAAAAAGAGGGGACTCTCAAGCTTGGCATTGCCCCGGGGTTTTGCTTACCATTGTCACGGAGTGCCTGGCACTCGGGGGACCCTTACTAGATGACCAATGACTAACAGGCTCATTTCTGAGGCTTGGGTGGGTGTCTGGGCTCTAGTGGGGAGGACACAGGAGCCCAGCAGGATTCCCACCTTCCCCGGTGGGTGATGCCATGCTTCCAGGCTGTGGAGGCGCAGTCTGCACCTGTCCTCAGCCAGAGGAGCTGCAGTTTCTTCTGAGGATGAAGGTGCTGGGTCTTTAGAAGTGTTAGACCCTCTCCCCACCATGCCACTGCTTAAGGCCACAATCCAGCAGGGCTAGTTCCATATTTACCCTCACAGGTCCAGCAACAAGCCCACATTCAGTAAAGTTTCCTCTCATCACTGATGGACTTTCACATCCATTCTCTCACCAGATCTTCACAACAACTCTGCAAAGGAAGGATTTTTTATTACTCTGTTTTACAGATGAGCAAACACGCAGATATGTCCAAGACCCCCAGCTATTAAATGACCAACCGAGGGCTCAGCCTTTTGAAGCTGTGTCAGCTTTCAAACTGTCTCAGAACTGCTGCGTATCAGCCATAACTAAACAGACCCCAGTGTGTATCAACGGGGGATGGCAGGCCACTTAGCCCAGGATGTGAACTGGGCCTCTGGGGTTCTCCCTAAAAAACCTTGGAGGCCACAGAGGGGAGATGACAGGGACGTTCATCAAGAGGGAGCTCTGGGCCTCCAACTGGATGACATCTAAGAGTTTGCTTGGCGCCAAGCCATACGCATTTTACAATCTGAAATAACACTGGAGCCGGGTCCCAGAGGACGCCTGCTTGCCACCGTCCTGAGACAGAAGCTAAAATAAGGGGGTGTCCAGGGCTCTGGGTAGCAGGTGTTTGCCTACAACTACAGAAGGCTCTCCACATTAACAGCCGTGCAGCAGGACCTATGCTTGCTGGCCAGACCATCCCACCCCACTTGCTGCCTTTGATCTGATACAGTAGGACTTTGATTTTTATGGCAAGTGAGCCAGTTTCATTTGCAAAGGGGTCCTGTAAAGACTATTACAAATGCACAAGTGTGCTGGAGGGCTAATGGTAAAGTGAGTTCCTTTGCCCAGTTCCTTTGTTATTAAGGTGCAGCTGCTTTTTCTTACAGTGAATAAACCTGGGTACTAAGTGACGATTTTTTTTAATGGAATTAAGTGGAAAATGATAGCTGTGAGCATACCAACATAAGAAGAAATTTCCCAGAGCTTAGCCACCTTCAAGCTCTTTCTCCAAAATACAGTGTTGCTAATGGGGTTCCCAATGGAAATTTGCCCCCAGAAAACACGGGACAAGTAAAACCTTGTTGTGAACAGCTTAGAACCGTGTCATAAAGGCAAAATGAAAGATGAAAAGGGGAGGTTCTGTTTCTTAAAATGTAGGGACAACACTGACCATGGCAGAGAAGCTAAACCCAACTATTAACCTTTGCTTTAGGACCAAACACTACTGGGGGAATGTAAAGTGATACAGCTGCCATGGAAAGCAGTATAGCAGCTCCTCCAAAAAAGTAAACATAGAATTACCTTATGATCCAGCAGTATACACACATATACACACACACCAGGATTCTAACAGATATTTGCACACCAGTGTTCATAGTAGTAGTATTCAAAATAACCAAAAGGTAAAAGCAACCCAGTGTCCATCAAAAGATGAATGGGGCTTCCCTGGTGGCGCAGTGGTTGAGAGTCCGCCTGCCGATGCAGGGGACGCAGGTTCGCGCCCCGGTCTGGGAAGATCCCACATGCCGCGGAGCGGCTGGGCCCGTGAGCCATGGCCGCTGAGCCTGCGCATCTGGAGCCTGTGCTCCGCAACGGGAGAGGCCACACAGTGGGAGGCCCGTGTACCACAAAAACAAAACAAAACAAAAAGATGAATGGATAAACAAAATGTGGTCTCTACATACAATGGAATATTATTCAGCCTCAAAGGAAGGAAATTCTGATGCATGCCACAACATGGATGAACCCTGAAGACATTATGCTAAGTGAAATAAGCCAGTCACAAAAGGACAAGGATTCCATTTATATGAGGTCCCTAGAGAAGTTAAATTCAGAGATGGAGGGTAGAATAATAGACGCCAAGGGCCGGGGTTGGGGAGAAGGGTGGAGACACTGTTTAATGGGGACAGAGTTTCCGTTTGGGATGATGAGAAAATCCTGGAGATGGAATGGTGGTGATGGTTGCACAAGTGAATGTACATAATGCCACTGAACACTTAAAGATGGTTAAAATGGCAAATTTTATGTTATGTGTATTTTACAATAATATTTCAATTAAGTTAAAAAAGAAAAAACCAAACACTAAAGACTCAGTGGCTCAGAAGTTGCCCACAGCACCTGGATGCACAAGCTTGGAGGCCCAGAGTGGGGCGCCCGAGTAGCAGCTGCACCTGCGTTTCCCATGGTCGGCCAGTCGCAGGTCATCCCACCACACGGGGCTCGCAGAACAGGTCTGGGGTCCCAGAAATCTGGGCAGGATCACACAGGCCTGCTGCATAGACTTTTAAGAGGAAAAAAAATGACTAGCATTTCGTTTTATTGTCCGGAAAACCATAACTGAAGCTAGTTAAGCCCTTGTGAAATGTCTGCCTTTCAGAGTGTGCTTTCTTCTGACAATAAAATAACCCTTTGTGATTTCATTGGGCTAATTCAGAACTTTTTTCCTCTGTGTAAACTGTTTTACAAGCAAATTTTTAAAAGCCTCTCAAAGCACAGTTGAACGCTGCATACAGGACTGAAACATTTAATTTTCTCTAAAGGAGCAGTCTCCCAGTTGGTTCCCCCTGTCTGGAATCGCAAAGGCTGAGTTTCCTGTGAACCAGGCGTTGAGACCTGGCTTTCTCAGTCTCCTCCAGCATTTCCTGGATGATAACTTGCAGGGCTTTTCCCAGCAGGCTAGCCGGAAGCGAAGGAGATAATGGAGGGACATGGACGAGCACCGCGCATCCATTTCCATGATGCAAAGACAGGTAGTAGGTGTAATCGCAGACGTACCTACAACCACACAAAATGCCAAGTTACTCCTTGGACCAGCCTCTAACCTCAGTGAAATGTAAGCAGAAGTGGCAATGCAGCATCCGCAAAGCATGAGGGAAGACTGCCACCAGGGAGACCCAGGTTTTGTTCTTCTGCCAAAGAACATGCTGCTGGGAATGAGCCATGGAGAGACCGGCTCTTGGCCTCATGTCCAGCAAGTGACTGAACCCTGGAAGGGACCAGATTTTCAACCAACTAATCCAAAACGTTCTCCCCCCAACCCCGTGAACCTTTCTCATTCATGTCTGCATTGAGTCATTTTGTTGTCACAGCTGCTCCAGGTCTTTGCTCACAACCCTGCAACCTCCACCTTTAGTAGGAGTTAACATAAATCTTTACATTAACGGATCCAGAGATAAGACAGGAAGAAACAAAAAAAGAAGATAAGAAACAAAAAAAAACTAGATGGAACTAGCTGGGAAGAGATGGCCGCAAACCTGACCTCCAACAGACCCTGGGTCTCATTATATGTTGATTTTTCTAAATTAGCATATTAAATGACACATCTACCGGCTGCCATAGCTGGACATTAAGGACCAAAAAAGCATTAAAAAGGGGGTGGCACTCCACTCCCCTGAAAAAGCCCTGCCCCTTCCCAGGCAGACTAATGCCTATGCCATCCCATCATTAGCCTCACTCCTATCTTTCAAATTAAATCCCTCTCACCAAGTGGGTGATAAGTTGACCTGTAAACTTAGTCCCTGCTTCTCCAATCTCTGACTGCTGAATAAGGCTTAACCCAAGCAGGAAAAAGAACCCTCTCCCGCTGAGGCAGGGCGCATCGGCTCGGCTAGGGCCTGAGCAGCGTCCATACAACTTCATTTGGTAACAAATTCTGGCATCCAACAAGGGGCTCATTCTGTCTGTTAACTCAGGGTTACTCACTGACCCAGGGCCAACAAAGCTGGCTAAATAACTGAGCTGTTTGCCCCAGTTCTCAACCGCTGGGCCAGTGAGGGCTACTAAATTAAGCCTGAGATTGAAAAGCAGCCAAGGATCAAGTGGAGCGCTCCTCAGGTAAAGAACATCTCTTTGGGGGTCCCTGGTGGCGCAGTGGTTGAGAGTCCGCCTGCCGATGCAGGGGACGTGGGTTCGTGCCCCGGTCCGGGAAGATCCCACATGCCGCAGAGCGTCTGGGCCCGTGAGCCGTGGCCGCTGAGCCTGCGCGTCCGGAGCCTGTGCTCTGCAACGGGAGAGGCCACGACAGTGAGTGGCCCACGTACCGCAAAAAAAAAAAAGAACATCTCTTTGTTTCATGTGTGTGACGTGAGCCCTAGTCTCTGTTCTTGATATGAGTGAAGCTTCAATCTCTGTTCTATGTGGTTTCGTTTGTCCTAATGCGCTTGGAAATACATGCCACAACTGTGGGCACGGGTTGAGCACTTGAAGGCCACTATGGCGTTTGCCACCAAAAAGGATAAGTTGGTCATGCACCAGCGTAGATGAGCACTGGGTACCCTGCCAACCAGAAGCAAATGTCCGTGTAAGCAGGCACACTGTAGAACATTCACAGCCCCAACGTCTACCGCGTTCCCACCTCTAGGGTGCAGTCAAAAATGCAAGAGCACACCTTTTGTGTTGGTTCCTCTTGCCCTAACTTGCCATCCCGGGGCAAGGTATACGTCTCTGTTGGGTAGGTCCCTCCCTACTACCCTCTACCACAGATCCCTAGGGATCCCTCCTCTGAGACATGAACCCTTTAAAAATCTTGTTTTCATCAGATTTCAGGAAAATCACTTTGTCTAGTTGGGGAAGGAAGAAGAGGACCCCAAACTGTCCAAAGTCCTTGGGTCCTCGTAGCTGAGAGTATAGAAAACTGGACACATACCAAATGGGCATTCGGCCTCCCTGTCTGATTACCTGTAACGGAGCAGGGACACACCTTTGGTGAACAAGCCCCCCTGACTACCGGAGAGGCTCTTTATCTGAGCAATTTATCTGATTAGAGAACCCTTATTTCCCACTCCCCCTTCACCCTATCTCTGGGGACTGTTTGCTGAAAGATATCTCCTACAGCCCCACAGCGGGTCTGGGAACATCTAGTCACTGACTTAAGAGGTGCTTTATGGGAACTTCCCTGGTGGCGCAGTGGTTAAGACTCCGTACTCCCAACGTTGGGGGCCCGGGTTTGATCCCTACTCAGGGAACTAGATCCCACATGCATGCCGCAACTAAGAGTTTGCAAGCCACAACTAAGCAGGCCACACGCCAAAACTAAGAAGCCGGCGAGCCGCAACTAAGGAGACTGCCTGCCGCAACTAAGACCCTACACAACCAAATAAATAAAATAAATAAACGTTAAAATAAAAGGGGGGAACTTTATAACTAAGGCCCTCTTGGACAGTGTCTCCCCTACCAGCCCCTGCGAAGATTGGTTCAGGTTTCAGTTAGCGCTCCTAAACCGCTTGGTGTGGGTCAATCTTGTGGGATCTGCATAGCCACCAACCCTAAGAAGAGGCCACTGGGAAGTTGGAAACAGTATAAATAAGGACTCCCCAGTATGGGTAATCAAGCCTCTATCCCAGTGTACGCTGTCAAGGTGCATTCTCCATAACTGGAAATTCTTTGAGTAGCGTCCACTAACAGGGAAACAGCTTATTTTCTGCTGTAACACCGCATGGCCCCAATATAAACTGGCGGATGGAGAAAGTTGGCCAACTAACGACTCTCTAAATTCTAATACTGTTTTTTAATTTGACCTCTATTGCCAGCGTTAAAAAAAAAAAAAAAGGGATCTCCTACGTCCAATTTTTCATGGCCCTTAGCCAAATAAAGGGCTTCTGGAAAAAATGTGAGGCTAGTTCAAATTTCTCTTTCCTGGAATTGGAATCTCAGCCTGAGGATCCTCTTGACTTCCCCCCTCTGCTAAGGGTAGCTGCCCCCGCTTCCAACAGTTCACCTGAGACTCCTGAGTCATCGACATCTACCCCTACCTCTCCTGAATCCCCGACGCTGTCTACTCCCTCAAATTCACCACCTCCCTACCTGGTGCCCCCTCTTCCGCCCAATGGGTGGTCCCCCTCCCCGACTCTTTCACCTCCATCTCTCAGTACACCTTCCTTGGGGACTAGTCCAATGCACACCTGTAGCAGCATTCAGTACCAGCCCTCTGGAATCAATAAGCTATTCCCCCTTCAGGCGGTTCCCAATGCAAAGGGCAAACTGACCACTGCGTTAGGTACCCTTCTCTTCCTTGGATCTCTATAACTGGAAGGATCGATCCAAGGGTTTAAGGGAAGACCCCGAGGAAGTCCTTAATTTAGTCTGGGGAATACTGCACACTCATTTGAGTGGATACCCAAACCCTCCTAAACATCTTATTGTCTGGGGAAGAAAAGGTACTGATTATAATTAATGCAAGGGAGGAAGCTGCTAAGACCAATCAAAATAACATGGGGCATGCTGTAAACCAGCCTGGAGTCCAGGCTGTTCCCAACACAGACCCTGGGTGGGGCCATCTAGAGGAAAATGGTCAGCAGCACCTCACACATTTCGGGAATTTGATTCTGAAGGGCATTCAATTAGCGGGGAAGTAACTCATAAATTGGAGTATGTTCAAGGAGTCATCCAAGGACTGAAGGAAAATCCCTCAGCCTTCCTTGAGCACCTAAGGGAGTGCCTCCGAGTATATACAAACATAAACCTGGTGTCATTGGAAGGGCAGGTCATTATTAAGTACCATTTTATTTCCCAGAGTGTCCCAGACATTAGGAGAAAATTACAAAAGTTGGAGACAGGGCCCACCACACCTACTTCCGGGCTGGTGGAATCAGCATTTCGGGTGTTTAACAACTGGGATCTGGAGGCCGATACAAAGGAAGATAAACGAGCAGAACAAACTGTCAGTTCTCTGGCTTTAGCAATTCAGGGTTAATCGACCTCCAAGGGATGACACCCCCCCCCACAAACACACACACATAAGGGACCCTGTAACATCAATGAGTCGCCTGGGATTTCGAAGACCATGCCCACAGTGGAGAGAAGGGCTTAAAGCCAATCAGTGTGCTAACTGCATAGAGGAGGGCCACTGGAAGGGGGACTGCCCCAAATGTCTCAGAAGGAGACTAAGTGGACCACCATGTCCTGGCCCACCCTCATTGGTCACACACATAAAAGAAGAGGACCGAAGGGGCCCAGGGGCTCCTAGGAGTGCCCCAGAAATTACCCCCAAGAAGGCTTGGCTGACCCTGACTATAGGTGGTAAAAAGGCTGACTTTTTAGTCAACACAGGAGCCACCTACTGGGTCTTGAACACCCAACAAGGCAAAATGACCAAAGATAAATGTAAGATAATGGGAGTGAAAGGGAAGCCGCAGGAACGCAATATTATAGAGCACCTTGAGTGCAATTTGGAAGGAAAAAAGTTATCTCACTCTTTCCTGTATGTCCCAGAATGCCTAATTCCTCTAATAGGAAGAGATTTACTATATAAATTGGGAGCAACAATTTATCTCAGAGACACAAAACTTAACATCAAAATACCTAAGACTCCCTTCCATTCCATAGCACTCATGCTACCACCCTCTGCGGATTAATCCCTCAGTATGGGCCCACGACACCGTGGGCAGAGCCAGGAGGGCACCAGTCATGGTCAAGCTGCGACCCGCCTACAATCACCCAAATAAAAAACAATACCCATTAAGCAAAGAAGCCCTAGCAGGCATTAAGTAGAAAGTCTACTCAAACAAGGGCTTCTTAGACCCTGCCATTTTCCTTGCAACACTCCTAATCTGCCAGTAAAAAAAAAAAAAGCCCAAGAGATACTGGCTAGTTCAGTACCTCCAAGCTGTAAATGAAGCTATGGAGGAAATTCACCCAGGGGTGCCAAATCCCTACACCTTACTCTCTACCCAAAACTACGAAAGGATTTGGTATTCAGTGCTAGATTTAAAAGACACCTTCTTTTGTGTGCCCTTAGCCCTGTAATCTCAGTACATTTTTGCATTTGAATGGCAGGT